AGGTGTATTGAGCAATAACATTATAAGCTCTTTTTAATCCTGTTGTTCTTTCAGCCCAAACTGATTTATTACGGATCCTGAGCTGACAAGTGTAATATTTCCCATTTCACAAATGTATTGTTACCAAAAACTCTGTCTTTAGCTTTCTTTATATATAATCTGAATCTATTCAGGTCTCTAGAATATGAGTTTTTATAATTTCTGCAAAAAAATCCCTGTTTGTTTAATTTTTAATGTACATTTCGATTTTCAGGGATTTTAATAAAAAACTTTTTTATTAATATGCTGTTTTCATAAAAAACAACAAACACTGGAACAGATTCCATCTCTGTAAGAAGAGAGAGAATGTCATGTATGGTACCTTACCTCAGTTTGACCTTAATGCAAAGAAACACTTCTACTTGGAACTGTACATTTGCCACATGTTGAACATGAGGCATATGCCTAAGCCCCATTGAAGATGAAATACATGGATCATCTCAGATGGAGATGTTTCACAGCAATCAAATATAAAACTTGTTAACAGAAAACATTACAGTAGATAAACTTCAATGCATCAGATAATGCACATCTAAAGTAATAAAAGTTGAATTAATCCATTCTTGTGTTTTCTCATACCAAGAAAAAGATATAAATACCACAGATCACGTATAAAGACTTCAACTTAGTGTTCTAAGGTAAACAAGCTAGCATAACTTATAAAGGATAAGACAGAAAATCCAGAAAACTTTCCATAAATCAAGAGTTTGCTATTATCCACAACAGCTGTGACCACCATATTTCCAGAGAACACATGACAGATTATATGAAATAATGATTTTTACAAACAAAAAACCATGAGGCACTATTGCATAATGAAAGAAATGAAAAGAATATCCAACGATACCGAAAGACAGCAAAACCGAAAAGATGGAATTAAAAGCATATTAACTCATGAAAGGGGAAAAAATTAACCCATTATACTGACCAATATCAGATATTACTGAGATCAACATCACACAAAAAAGAAATGAGTAATTGTATGGAAAATTACAATATCTGTATCTTACAATATCATTACAATATCTTTGCCCCTGTACTCGGCCCTGGTGAGGCCACACCTCGAATCCTGTGTTCAGTTTTGGGCCCCTCACGACAAGAAGGACATTGAGGTGCTGGAGCGGGTCCAGAGAAGGGCAACGAAGCTGGTGAAGGGTCTGGAGCACAAGTCTGATGAGGAGCGGCTGAGGGAATTGGGGCTGTTTAGCCTGGAGAAGAGGAGGCTGAGGGGAGACCTCATCGCGCTCTACAACTACCTGAAAGGAGGTTGTAGCGAGGTGGGGGTCGGTCTCTTCTCCCAAGTAACAAGTGATAGGACAAGACGAAATGGCCTCAAGTTGCGCCAAGGGAGGTTTAGACTGGACATTAGGAAAAACTTCTTTACTGAAAGAGTGGTCAGGCCTTGGAACAGGCTGCCCAGGGAAGTGGTGGAGTCACCATCCCTGGAGGTATTTAAAAGACGTGTAGATGAGGCGCTTAGGGACATGGTTTAGTGGGCATGGTGGTGTTGGGTTAACGGTTGGACTTGATGATCTTAGAGGTCTTTTCCAACCTGAATGATTCTATGATTCTATGATTCTATCTGCATTTGAGACAGAGTTGAAAATACTGTAAAGGAGTATTGTCATTATACTGGGTCGTAATCCAACTAGTGCGTGTATCAAGAAAAAAATTCTCATGTACAGAAATTATTCTATAAAATCATAAAGTTTTCATGTACCTGTTTCAAAAGTATTTAGTTCTGCCCCTTGAAAGATTTAACTTCATGAATTTGATCAAATATGAAACTTTCTGTGTAATTATCTACAGTTTTACTGTGGTAATTAACCACAGTTTTCATCTTTTTGTTTGTGGCATCATAGACTCTATATAGTATCCTATATTTCAGGGAAATTTAAACAGTTAAATGAAGTCATGACCTGATATGATGTTATGGTGCCACCTTGTGATGTTGCGTCAGAAGTGCCTCTAACATGTACAAGGAGACAAAAATTAGCCCTGGGGGAAAAAGCCCTGTTTCCATGCGATTGCGAGAAATTGCAAGAGATTCCAACACTGAGTCTGTTGACAAAGGGGAGCATGTGGTTATCGACTAACAAAAGAACATTCAGCATTTTAAGATTACATTAAAAGGGCATGAAAGAGCACAAAGAACCACAGCAAAAGAACAACTGCTTTCCTCAACACAGATCCAATTACAGACATATGAGTTAATTCCACTGAGTCAGCAGAGTTACTGAAGATTAGTATGGAAGTAATGAAGATTAGATTTTGGCTTGCAGGCTGTTATAAATCTCGGCTTACAGTATTCCCTTAAAAAAATGACAAACTCAAGTGTGTTAATAAGTAACTTGGTTATCACTTGCTTTTTGACACTGTTTTATTCATTTCCACTAGCTCCTTTTTGTCCCCAAGATGCTTTCAGTGTATATAAACTAGAGATAACACACACTTAGCTATTTTAATAGAGGTTTTAAGTAATAGTTTTCCTTTTTCCATTTTTGAAGGCAAATATAGAAATGTCCATTTATATTTAAGACCTTTTTTGCAATACGAAATGTATGTCCTCTTGCTTTTAAGGCCAAATCCAAAATTGTTTTAAATCTAAATCTTACTGTTTCAGCTTTTTTCTAAATTGCCTGGTAGTTCCTTTGAATAAGTAAGCCTGGCTGAACAAACACTTGCTAGTGAATTTGTAAGATTCCGCCAATAATGCTATTGCAGAAATAGAGCTTTTTTTTACCTCATAACATTATTTAAATTTGCAGTGCGTCATGCTGCACTCCTATTAACTCAACACTCTTGCCATAACAAAAGTTTCAGTGGTAAGACATCAACTACAGACAACCTAAGAAACTGCAAATACAAAGCTTCTTTAGAAATCTATCCCTTACCTTTGCCATCAGGTGGTATAACAACTTACCTACTACTAGGTAGGATTATTTTGCTCCAGAAGCATTTAGATCAGGTATCTCTTTCAAACTCCAGGAACATACTATGTTGCTCGGGTTTTTCTTACAGGAAATGAATGTAAGTCAAAGAAATAAAGGGAGTTAGGAAAAATGCATACATTTGTATCTGCAGTATTCTGCAAGAATTCTCCTTTAACTGTGGACAGGAGTACTCCTTCACAGTGTGCTCCTGATTTCTTTTCCTCTTTGTTTCCCAGCTCAGATGGATGACTCCAGGATTAAACATCTGACTGCAAGCCCAAGTGTCTCTTCAGCTGCTTTGTGACATTCAGCTCAGGGAGGTCAGAGGGAAACAACACACAACACACTGAGCACATTCCAAGGCAACTGAGGTCTTCCTTTAAGTGGGGAGGATGATCTAATTGTGGAATGACACATGGTGTCAGGAAGGAAAGAAGTTTAGCTAACAGAAATTTTAAAACATAGAAAAAGAACACTGGTGTCAAAGGGAACTGACCTGTGTCATCAGCACCAGATCCCTTTTGTCTGAATAATCTGATCCAGAATCTTGGTATTTTACAATACATACTAATCGTGACAGAAACACACATCTCACAAGCATTTCAACATTAAATGTGTGTCTTGAAAGAAATAAAAAACTATCAGCTGACATTTCAATGAATAGGAAGTAATTTTAACATAATCTCTCTTAATGCCAAAGTCTTGCAAATTTTTTGAATCAATCAATATATCTAACTTAATCTGCTCGAAATGAAAAAGATTGAGGCTTGAATCCCTTCTTACTCAATCAGAACTAAATATCAGGATTGATTTATGCTAATTTTAGCTTGGGTAAGTAAATCAAAGGGAATTCAGGCTCTAATTCCTTTATCTAAACAGAAACCAGTAAGAGGAAGTATTAAAATGCTATAAACATAATTGAATATGATCATTCTAAAAAATATTTTTAAAATAAATGTTATTACTAACATACAAGTTTCATTTTCACTGTGCTATCTTAGGCAAGTCTGTCCCGTATACCTTGAATATCCAAAATTTCCATTGACACTTTTAATGTACAACCACACTGCTAGATAAATATTTCTTCTTGATGCATACTGTGTAAATTTGAACGCAAGCTACATTGCAAGCTCACCATACATAAGAGGTTCCAAGGCAGATAAGCATCATCATCCCTACTGAGGTGGTAAAAAGGTTCATTTCTCTACTTTAACTTTTTCAATAAGAATAACATATTTCATCCTGTGAAAGAGTTAACTTTATATTAATTGGAATAATGACCAGAAAGGAAATTAGTATTAATGCTTAGCCCAAAAATTCTCAAAGCACAACAGAATGCGTCAAAAGTTTTAATTGTGATGACTTTGATACAGAAGCCATGTAAGTGACAGAGCCCTTCTATTGACTGTTAGAACAGTAATACACATATGATTGTCTTCAGGCCCCAGTACCTAAACAATACTGGAATTAAAAAAAAAATCTAGCTGATTTCCAGCTGGAGAGAGAAGAGAAATACAGAGCTGCATTCATGCATTTTATGGGAAAGATTGCATAGCTGGTTTAGAAAGAAAATGTCTTTTCATGTCCTTAGTAGTAGTTCTGTGCTTCTTTAACTTCCTCATGAGTTACAGATGATTATATTCTTCCAATCGGCGTTATCAGCCCATAGAATGAGTAAAATGCAAGACAAGACCCCCTTTGAGAATAAGGACATAGTTTTAACCTTTATCTTGGGAAGAAATGAATCATGTATGCAGTTATCATATACAAAAGGCAAATATTTCAAGTTTCATAAGGACATGACAATCCATAAAATATTGGTTGAAGGTAAGCACCAAACCCAGCAACTGCCATTTCAGTGACTGAAAGGCAAACCTGGGTTGTGGTTGTCTTCAACACTGGGAGCTTGATCTTGACTGCAGTTCTTTCACCTAAGATAATCTCCATGCAAGATCCCCAGCTCTACAACACAGTGATAGAGGCATCTCATTATTTAAGGCCCGTGCTTTCTTTCAAATACTTTTGGAAAAGTCACCAAAGCTAATCTTTCTGTCAATCTTTTTTTTTTTTGCGCTTTTAAGAGCAGTATTAAATATTCATAAATATAAAACCTATGTGGAAATACCTTTAATAATATTCTGATTCTGCCTGTTTAAAAAAAAGAAAAAAAAAAAAAAAGAAAAAAGAAAAACCACAACCCAACAACCAACCATCTTTGCCAGAGTGCTTGGCCAGCAGTGAAGATAAAAATGTGACTGTTCCAAATATCCTGTAGATCACATGATGCTTCTGTCTCTTTGTGGACAAGAATTATTTCAGTACTTTCTGCTGAGTTCTAAGAAGCCATAATTAGAGGACAAAAGCCCCCAAAGTGCCTGAGATTCAGAAAGGCTGGACTGGCAAGTCATTTCTGATAACACTGGCTCACAGAAACATCTTCAGATTCTTATGTGGAAAGTACTGCAAAGGAAAGAAAAAGATTAAGAGATATAAACACATTTGTCATTATGCACAACATTTTCCTTAAAGTACAAAAAGGAAGGTGCTGTGTAATGAATCTGAATCTCTTCTCTCATGCTCCCAGGAAGATTTAAACATTCTGGGAGAAATTTCCATCTTCTGAAAATGTTAGCTCAGGGGGCAAAGCTCAGCAAGTATAAATCAAGTATAAATTGACCTATTTATTGGATATACAGCAGAACTACATGTTTCCCAGTTGCACTTTTGCTATGGCACAGCATTTGGGTTCCTAACAAGTCAAACTAGGCAGATAAATTTGTTGTTTCTCTTGCTAGGACCAAGAGATCCTGATTGTTATCTTCTTTCTATTTGCACTATGATACAGGCAAGAAGCATGCCTTCCTACTGCCATCAGTTTTCAGAAAAACTCCCAAGCATCTTAGCAGGACAGTAAAAGACAATTTAAAAAGGGCATGCTGAAAGCTCACTTTCTCTAGGTAGTAATCTTTGTTCAATGTCATGACAGTATAAACTGTCATGACAGTTTCTTTCTTTCTTGACTGAAATCAGAAGTGATTATTATGTATTTTAGTATGTAAATACTATAATTTTGGTGCCCACACCAAAAGAAAACTTTAAAGGTTTGGAGTATTTGAGAGGCTGAAGAGTTCTGGATGTACAGTTTTTGGATTTTGTTTTACAAAAAGAATGCTCTAACTTAATCATAACTATTTGACTTGAACCAGGAATTCACTGATGGAAGTTCTGTGGTATGTATTTGGAGGAGATAAAATTTTATGTTCACAGGGGTCCCTAGGAACTTCATACCTAGGAATTTATTCAAGCTGGGTGACACTGAAAAGGTATGATGTATAGCAGTCTGGCATACTAGCCTAAGTATTGTGAAAGAAAGCATACAGTGATGCAAAGAGCTTACTGGCACTAAGGTTTTAGAAAAAAAAATTATAAACATCTTGTTCACAACTCAAGAAATGTCTAGAGCCCCATATTAATCCAAACTCTTGAAAATTTAAATCCCACATAGGCAATATCTAGGAACTAAAAAATCCACAGCATTGTATGTGAAAACATTTTAGGCATGACTCCTTAAAAAAACCATCCAAATCCACTTCATTGGAAATCTATTTATTGGAAATTTTTTGTATTTCTATCAGTGTCATTTTGGCATTTGGAGATCAAGCTTTTTACTAAGAAGCAGCTGAAATATTCTGTGAAAAATACTGACAAAATTATTCCCTTCCACTGTTTTCTTGCTAAGCATCTCTTGCCAGTTTGTCACTAGCTCTAATTTTAGTCCTTAAGAACTAGATAATCTGCATTTTGGGACAGGTCTTATGAGATGCACATTTCCTATAAGAGAGCTTCTGTTACTTCAGCTTTAGGTAGGACTGGAGTCAGGACATCAACTGTTATATGGGCCCACAGGGGTTTCAGAAATACTGCATTTCCAATGACATCTTTTTGTTTAATCTGTTGTTTCTCTGTCTAGTTCTGGCAGCCCCCAGGTGTTAGTAATGCCATATTCCTCTCAAACTCCATTTCAAATCTTTATAGTATTTTTCACCCTCAGGCATTCAAATAAGCTTAAACTTCCAGGATGATTTATAAAACAATTTCCTGTGGAAAACGTAACCAGTCTTGTAGAACAGAACACTTAGCTAGTGCCAGTTCAGAGTGCTAATACTTCCATTAAACTACAAGCAGCTTCTTAATGATAGCAATTTTGAGTGAAATAAACCTATTGGGATCAAATTTTCTGAACTAGCAACTGTCATTATCATTTACAGCTTACTCAAGCTTCTGGGATAACAGCCAAAAAGGTATATATCTTCTTCCCTGGTCAACGATTAGCAGTGTTTTCTTCTAGTCTTAAAAAAATTCCTCAACCACAGCAGTGCAAATCAAGCAGCAGACTTTACTGCATCTTCATTTGCTTGACAGCAGTACAAAGCTTGCAAAGGCTGTCTCTGTAGGAGATTAAACCTACACAGGGTCATTAAGTAAAGGTTTGAGAAACGAGTGATGAGATAAGAAAAATCAGTCAACGTACAGTGGATGAACTTTAGCTCATACCAGGTCAAAGCCTGGATCACAGTGCCAAAATTAATGCCTGGTCTATGTATTAAGTATGCATGATAGTATGACAGTTTAAAAAAACCCAACATACTGAGCTGTGTGAAAAAAGTGCTTCAAAAACAGAGTGTACATTGTTATAGGAATCTGTCCTTCAAAAGTTTTCACAAACAGGGTAAAGAAAATATTCCTCCTCAGTAATTTCATACCTCATTTTAATGACAATGAGATTTTACAGTTGGATAGTTCATATTATATGAGTTCTCAATGTTTGTCAGAAGTCAGGTAAGCATTGGTCCCACGTAACAGAGCAGAGAGAACAAAACGATCTATGGCTTAGCAGAGATCACCTGCTCAAGCAATGGCAGAGCCAGGGATAAAACCTAACTGCCTTGCATTCTAAATTTCCTACTCTTACGATGTGAAGAAGTAGCTTTTGGTGGGGGGAAAGGGCAAAGAAAAGCATCAGAAATCCTTCACTACAAATAAAAATCATCTGCCGTCTGGTAAGTTAGTCAACATTTTCAAAAGGATCACATACCAGGTGCCAGTATGTTATTCTATGATCAGATATTCAGAAATGTTGATTGCCCATAGCTTCATAGCGAAGTCTCTGAAAACTGCAGTTACTTAGCATCTCCAATTGTTCGCTGGCAATCATATCCAAAAATGGCTATTGCTTTGGTTCCTAGGTGTTTTATTTTCACAGCTGCTGAGCAGTTGAAAGTATAAATCAATAGGCACACTTAGGCTTCCTTGAATTTAAAGTTGGAATGCATTCAATTGTGCACAAAAATTGGAGATACGCAAAACCAAATGAAATTATGACTGTCTCTGGACATTGAGGAGTTGGTATTTCTTCCATGTGTCTGCTGAAGATTTCAAAAGGGACAATTTTATTTAGATGAAAACGTGTTTTCGTATCTTTTTACAATATTAGGAAGACAGTTCAGGCATAAGTGTACCACTGGCATATAAGGTTCTTGATCCACTATTAAGACACTTCCTGTGCTTTGCATGTTCTGTCTTATATTACATCGTGAAACTGCACAGCCCTGTTTTCAGTTTGGCTGCACACAGCCTATGGTTATCACTGAAGAGGACCGTTACAGCTGAAGACACAGAAGAGAGGAAAATGAGAGGCCATGAATCGAGCTGGAGATAAATTCAGGAAGATAAAAGTAAGCATTGTTTCATTAAATGAATAGGTAATGTGTCCAAGACTGTTATGGTATAATTGAACGCAATGAATAGGAACTGGGTCTTATGTGGCAAGAGATCAGCTACAGGAATTGCACTCTTGTCCCATGTCACATGTTCTGTCACATGCTAGCATGCATTGGGTACTATCAGAGAGCACTGGTTTAGTTTCAGTCCCCAGTCAGACCTTGGTGTACCTATTGTGGCATTAAAATTCAATGGATCCCATTCCAAAAGTCAAATCACTGTCTCCCTTTAGAATGCAACATTTACACAGTATTTAAAAAATGACAGTAAGCGGCTCAGGTCAGGAAGTTCAGTATTAACAAATATGTCAGTCTATGATGCACTGCATACAGCAAAAATATGAGAAAGAATATCCTCAAAAAATAAAATACCTTTACAGGCAAAAGGAATAGTAAACTGCAATAAGGGAGAGGTATCAAGTCTTCCATACAGATTGGTTTGGACAAAAGTGGTCTCATGACTTTGTCACTTTCTTTTCCTGCAGCTGAAACAGAAACCAAATCAGAGAAACTACACATTCTCTTCTCGGCTTTGAGACTTTTTCCATTTATACCCTCATTTTGCAATATAGCTTCAAAGGTTAAAAAACATGTTGCTGAGTTAACAGTCAGAGGCTCTAAACCGTGTTTCAGTTAAAAGATGGAAGGAAACCCTTCTTTAGGTCATGTCACATCAGGAGCTCTTAAGCCTGAGGACTTCAGAGCTGAATCCTGTGACCCAGCTAATCTCCTGACCTGAAAGGAGATGGAAGTTACCATTTCCCTTGAAACCAGGGACGGAAAAAATCTGCCTTAAATATACACATCGCTGCCTCGAACATCAAGGAGACATCTTGATAACACGAGTTCACCATGTCACAGATATGGATCAAAGTATATGTGTTTAAACTGAGCAACTGGATTATCAGCCTTCCAATACTTGGTAGCCTGGTCCTTTGAGATTATCAGTGTTGTCAGTGATCCCTCCCTCTCTATTTTCTCTTTACCTAATCTATAACAAGCTCTGTACTTTTCACTTCATCCCTCTTTTTACTCATCTTCTTGCCCTGTTAAGTACCCCGCCCTCAGGTCTTTCCACTCATTTCCTCAGCTTCCCAAAACATCACAAACTTGGAAAAGAAAAATAATTATGACAGTCATTCCAATAGCTACAGTGGCAAATATTCCTCTCTGCTACTTTCTCAGGAAATTACTGGGTTGCACAGCATCCTCAGCTTGGAATTCTCAGTCAGCAGTTTGTGAGCCTCTACAACACAGCAGTAAAGTCAGTCACGGCAGAAGAAACTTCTGAAACTACAGCTTCTGCTGAGTTTTCAGATCTGCCTTCAATTCTTCACACTTGATCTCTGCTCTCTACCAGATTTTTAGGTACAGTACAGCCTTTTCATTGATTAAAGGAAACTCTGCCTGACCCCAGCAGCTTCTATATGAGTAACAGTATACAGAAAACATTTTCTTAGCTGGAAATATATGCAAACAAAATATTAGAATACCTACTCAAATGAGCCTCACCATAATGATGATACGTATCTTGTTCTAAAAGAGTTTCTGTTGATAGACTTGATTAGTCAAGGAATGCCTGATATGTTTCTAATGTGTAAAAGACATTCACATTGACTTTGTAGCATATCCTCTTGAAATGCTGATGTTTCTCAGGGTTCATAGGGGTCATGTCCTCATGCTTTATTGTAGAGTCATTTTGTTATAACGTCTTTCCTTAGAAATTTCATTTACGAAATAAATAAACTGTTCTGTGTTCTGCAGGACATTTAAAAGTTCTTAAACACCATTAGCATTAATATTATCAGTCCAAATTTTGATCTATCTTAATTCTATCCTAATGTTTAGCCTTATTTCCTATGAAAATACAGTTTATTCAGTAAGTCTGACTGTGAGCTTTGTTAGTAACTTCCCCAGTAACTTCTGAATCCTTTGGCAGAATTCAACAACATGTGACTGAAAGATGCTTAAGATTCTGCCAATTTCCTGCAAACAGGCAGCTGTGTAAAAAAGAGTCTCTAAGTGTTCCACTTCATAGAAGGATGCAAAATAATTCTGCACCTTTCTAGACATCAGAAAATCTACATAGATGAACCAGTCTTCGCCCCTTAACTGCAGCAAAAAAACCTGAAACTAAACTCCTTCTCAGATACCATCCAACTTATCAGGAGACACAACTCTGCAGAAACTAGAATTTACCAATTCCAACATTCCCAAAACAACTTACAATCATACTGTACACCTGCTTGCAGTTGGATTATTGTTGGATTATTTATCTTCCCAGATATTAGAACTTATCTGTTACTATCAATTATCACCAGACAAACAGCAACACTACCAACTTAACAACAATGTGTATGAACAAAGATTATGAAAAAAACTTTTTCAGGTTTCAAGCATTTACTATTAGACATAGTTAACCCAGACCACTGAAACTTGGGGAGAAATTAGACCTAGGTTTTAGCTTCAGCCTACGCTGCCAGTGGATTCAAGATTCAAATGTGAACTCTTCGCAGTTTGGGAGTATCTTATTTTGCTGGCTGGTTCACTGTAATTTCTTAAAGAAGGTCTATCCTTGGATTACTTAAGTAACAGCCTTAAGTATAAGTTTATGTAGAATGGTTTATTAATGTGTAAAAATAAAAAGTCATTGCCCTTTTCAAAAGGTCTCTTTAAATATGAAACATGCAAGAAAAACTCTCTTAAGATAGCTGGGTTTTATCTACAGATTATTAGGAAGAAACTCAGCAACAAAAATAAAAAATATCAGTTACAAAAAAAAAAACCCGGTTAACAGTGGATCGAAGAAAGACTGCAAGTAGTTAATCATTTTAATTGATTTTCTTCTACCAGCATGAACTGTAGCACTGTAATGTCCTTTAGCTCTCACCTTCTCAGCACAAAATATCAATGTGTTTCCGTGTATATTTGTAACATGTACGCAATATTTACACACATTCCTATTCAGACAGTATGGATCCTTGCTATAGGCTTGCGAACAATATGAATTTGAGCTTGTATTTTCCTGAAGAAACCACACAAATAAACAGGAAAAAACCAAGAGGAGATACTTAAAAGTCATCGAGCTCTTAGTCTTCAAGTTAGGAGAGAACTGGAATATACTCTAGAAAAGTACACTGAGTTAGGGTAAGAAGTCCTCCTCTAGTCAGCTCTCTGCTAAAGTACTTATGTCTGACATTTCTTGTATTACACTACACAGTGATATCCTAAAAAAATACCTGAAAATATGCAAGAACTCTTAAAACAATACCTGAGAAAGTCCGGTGCTTTGGAAATCATGTTTTCAAAATCTGCAAATCCTAGTTTCCCATCACCATCCATGTCAGCTTCTTCTATCACTTTCTCACAAACTAGAGTGATTTCTTCTGCTGTTAGCTCTTCTCGGGTCAGCTTATTGAGGGTTTTTTCCAAGTCTGATTTACAAATGAAGTTATCTGTGTTAAAATCTAAACAATAAACGAACCAAAGAAAAGATCACCAACAACTCTCATACTCATGTACTTCAAACAAAAAAGGCATACAAAAGCATCCCGATACAGTACCATAGATCTTAAAGGCATAGATTGCTTTAAGCTCTCTGGGAGCCATTTCACTGAGCACAGAGAACATATCCACAAAATCATTGAAGCTGAGGCTCCCCTCTCCATCTTCCGAGAAAGATTCCACAATCCTTTCCTTGAAGGGATTCTCCTGTGAAAAACAGATATATATATATATTTTTTAGTATTTGGAAGATCAAAAACCCTGCAGACTCCCTGTTAATAATTATGTGTATTTAATTCCATAGTTGGCTCTTTGAAGACAACTTTTTTCTTCCAAAATGCATATAAAAATTTACATTTGCGTGCTTTAGCAGAAAGTGTCAGCAGAACCTGCTGCTGCATAGTACTACATATCGCCCAGATTTTCTCAGCTCCATCGTTATTCATTCTCTCTAAACTGGTGCTCATCTCCTTTCTCCTGTGTGGAACACATGCTTTATAAATGTTAGGGTAAAGGTACTAAGAGTGCGAAGATCATTTGCACGTAACAGGTTCCTGACAGGGTGTCAGGCTGACACTGTCAGGAGGCTTACAGCTCCTACATTAAGAAGCTAACACATACGAACAGGGGATGGCAGGAGGGGAAGGAAACAGAGAGACCAAGGTGGAAAGCCAAGGAAACAAACAGGGTCTTTAAGCGTTCTGGTGGCATCTGACTAGAGGAACAAATATTATTTATGAAACTACCTCAAATAGTAAATATCTGCATTCCACACCTGACTGACGTGGAAACATCAATCAACCATCAACCAAGCCATGTCTATTCATTAAGGATGCAGAGTTACATCCCAGGAGAATCTTCTAGAAAAGTCTTTCATTTTCACTCTGATACATGTCAATGTCCAACCTCTGGTTGAACTGACTACAAATTCCAGAGTTTTAAATGAAATTTCATCTCTGCAGGAGATGATCCTAAGATCTTTTTCTAGCACTGTACGAACTCAGCTGGTGCCAAGGCTACTGCAAGTAAGACAATATTCTAAAACCATAAACACACAAGCAAGCATAAGAAAAGCTGCTTTAGTACTCTGAGGTCCAAAAGAAATGGTTTTTATAGTAACAAAACATCATCTTTCTCACAGCTATATAAAAACCCAAGATGAATTTGTAGCTATGTCTATAAAACTGGGAAAACCAATTCAATTCAGTTGAATATGAATAAAACAGACAAACATCATTTGGGCTGTGAGCAGCATCTCAAAGCTGTTCTACAGATCTTATCTGAAGCCAAGACACTGGTTAATATATTGATCTCCTATAAATGTAAAAAGATTTGGTGGTGGCATATCATGTTCATTATTTTTAATATGCATAGAGCATTTTATGTGACTTTAAAAGAAGCAGTATTGTGAAAGCTCAGAGCTCAAACATACATCCATTTAATTTCTTTTTTTCTCTAAGTTTAATTCGCTAACAGGTATTCGTAAGCCATCCAATTATTTAAAATGAAATTTCATAAAACAGCTATATTTGAGAGATAAATGACCAGAAAATGTTATTTTTCAGTTTACTTGAATTCTTTCTTGATAATTCACACACAACATATGCATCTATAGAACATATTTTCTGCATACCTGTGGAGACTAAAAAAAAAAGCAGCATGTACAAAGCAGAGTTACGTGAACAGATTGATGTTTTATATTTATGTAGTATCCTTCATCTTAAAGGAACATAAAGTACCTTACAAGAATTGGGCTACTTACCACTAATACGCAGCTGCCTCTGAAGTGAAATTCAACAACTGTTAAATGGTGTGCAGCAGCTTACAACAAGAGCTGAAGATAAAGATGTTCAACTGAAATCTCAGGGGGAACTTGGAAGCATAATGAAATTTGCCACTCACACAGAAATAACATTTAAGATACATTTTGTTATAGCCTCAAAATAATGAAAAAGTTTTAAGGATTCTTGTTAAAAGACAAGCATAACATACAAAAGCTTAATTTGTCTAAGAGGAACATGAGGTGTGACTGTGCACATGGACATTTCAAAGAACATCCAGTTCCTGGAAAGCAGCATTCCCTTTTACTTCAGGGATTGTGTAGATTCACACTATGGGATGACCCTTTGCAGTGTCTAGTTCCAGGATGCAGGTACAGAGAAACGGTCGGACATTTGAGTACAAGGCACGGACTGATCAAGGCTATACCTCACCTACATACATTTGGCAAGTCATGTCACCTGGCAAATTTAAGAACAGATTTCAGTGGCCATCCCAGCTGGAATGTTGAGATACTTTTTCACAGAATCTCTACCGGCCGTTCACATACTCAGAGAGCATATCTGATTCTATCAGGAGGTTTCTATTTAATGATAACAAAGCACTCAGGATACATCAACTATCTAGTGAGATGTATTTGGGTCTTGCAGTTTGCGCTCCAGGACTACTTCCATGGTAGAAATTAGTTGGAATCTGCCAAAAGGCAAATATCCATCTAATGACAAACCATGTAAGTGTGTGTGTCAATCTTCTGAGGATGCGTGAGATCTGAGAAGAGACATTGGAATGTAATTCCCTGAGACAATCAAGATTCAAAATTCAAAAAGTAACCTTGACCAGAGATTTTAGCGCTACTAAATGCCAAGATGTCTCAAGTCTTTCTGGCTGAGATAATGGCCAGGAATAAGGCTGTTTTAATGGATAGGTGAAGTAGGGACCACAAAGCCACAGGCTCAAATAACAGCTCATTAAGGTAGTCAATACTAAATTCAAATTGTCCTGCAGCATTCGATGACTGAAGTAATTCCACAATAGGGAGCATGCCTACAGATTTCAAAGGGTAGGAGATTAATGAGCTCACTGTGCTCTAAGATGAATATGTAAGGCTGAGCTCACTGTTCAGATAAAGACAAAACCAGGCCAAATAAAAATAAAAAAGAAATTAAATAGAGTAGAAAAGAGGGATTCCTGAAAATAAAAAGACAACAGGCTCAAAAAAGCAGAAGAGTCACATCTCTCAAGAGTTTCAGAATGAAACACTCCAGAATTAGCCAGATGGCTGAGGGAAAGTCATTGTAAAAGGATACGTAATGAACACTCATATCATGTGCGTGACGTGTAGAGGAGGTATAGCAGATGTGCATCTGTGGGTACTAAGGCTAAAGTATCTGACCTGAGTGCTTGGAAATATGCCTGTTTGTGACATGAATATACATACAGGCACTCAGTGGAAAACCATTGATTCTATTGTTTCAAATTGTCAGTTTATTAATAAAGCAAAGTAAGATTCAGCTGGGCTGAAACACATGAAAAAGGCCCACTGTCATCCTAAAAAGCACATAAAAAAATTGGTGTATCTGTTAAACGTTTAATATTAGCGAATGTTAAATATCAGAGTGGATGAGAAAACATGTTAGAAAAATTATCTTTTTTATTTCTAAAATTCTGTATTGCTTTCTTTGGAACAAACCTCATCAGAAATAAATGTCATGGTTACAGTTGTAAACTGACATCTCAGAGGCAGCATTGGGTAACAAACAGGGAGCACACAGATGCAAATATCCCTATCAGCAGTGAATATCAAACCCAGGACTTTCTGCATTAGAAATCCTAGGCATGATCTCTCTGACTGAATAAGTATATTGCAATTGCGTAAGAGGAATTATCTATTTGGCATGTCAGAGATCTTGAAAATACAGATGAATTAACAATGAATTAAATGGACCTAAGCATACTTCTTAAGTAACTCTTTGCCAAATGGATCTCTAAAACCTAAATGAAAAATAAAATCTTTCCTCATATTGATTTCTTTCCTTTAACTTTCTCATATTATGTGTCTTCAGGCAGTATATCTGTGTTTTACACAATGGAAAGTATTAGCTTACCTTCACAGATACTTTTCACATCCTTTCTGTAATTTCATTACCTCTACTCCAAAGAGCACAGATTAGGGTTCCATCATATTTAAAGGAAAAGCCATGGGGGAAGGGAGTAAAGGGGAAAACGATACTGTTCCTTCCTAGATCGTTCTCCCTTAAGCACTAATTGTTTAAAAAAAGAACCCTTTTAAAACTAGAAACTTACACTTGTCTTGTTGAAAAGCTTTTTCTGTCGTCTCACAATAAAAATGAGAGGGGACACAGAAAAAATAAAGAATTGTTACAACTAAAACTCTGCTGTTTTGCAGATTGATGCTGCTGTAGTGGCTTGAGACAATCCTCCTAAATGTGCCATCCATCTTTTTAACGATCACTTTTTCTACTCAGATAATTGTGTTTCTATACATTTTTGAATGTAATGTTGCATCTATTCCAACATACAGATGTAGAACACCTGACAATAAAACATAACCATTAGTTTTCTAAGAAACTATTATAGGGTTTATTCCTGCGATTGCAGCTAAATCTTACCAAGTCACTTGTTATTTTCCCCTATCCTCCAGTTTCCATTACAGGCTCTAGGAAAGCACTGCGTTGTCCTTTTGCCCTATCCGTTTTGCAGCTTGATGAATTAATTTAAAGCACTGTATCCTATTTTCATAAGCTGACTGCATTTTGGAAATAAGAGGTTGCAAGTAAAGCTGTAGGATAGGTCAAGATAACTAAGCTGGAGAGGCTGGACAGTCATTACAAAATGCTTCTCAGTTTTATATCCACAGAAACATGATGATCATTTTCTCTTTTGTGTTTGGACATAAGTCCCCACTGACATTAGGGAAGATATTTAAATGCACAAAGCAGTCTGCTTTGCAGACTAGTGAAAGCCAGAATCCCTTTGGATGCTTTAATCAGGACTTGTTCAGAACTGATCAGAAGCAAATCTTTCTCAAATTTCAGGAGTTATTCCTAGAAAAATAGAAATGGACTCTTATCAGTCAAACATTAATATAAAAATGGCTAAATTGTTCATTACCAGATCTTCATAGGAGAGGCTGATGCTTTGGAAGGGAAGCATAATAAGTGCAACAGCAAATTGTCCCTGGAGTAGATAAAAGCACATTTCTTTGTCATTTTTTTGTTTGGTTGGTTGTTTTTTTTTTTCTTTTCTTCTTCCTCAAAATCAGTAATTTTTTTTTTTTCATGTATAGATGATTATATTCATGTCATCAAACTTCTCTGCAGTGCCTACAGGGTACTGCAAACCAAGGCTAAGATACAGCTAAACTGATATGTTTACATTTAAAAAAAAATTATCGTGTCATTCTGTCA